GGCATTTGGGCTGAGCTTTCAAGGACGGGGAAGGATGTGTTCGGTTTCTGGGAGGGGTTTGGGGGAGAAACTGGGTGGAAAAAAACTGCCTGGGCAGCGGCAAGGAGGGCAAGGAGGGAAGCTGAAAGAGTGAGACGGGGGCTGGAGAACATGGCGGGGGAAGGGGTCAGGTGGGGGACTGGTTATGGAGGACCCTGAAGGTCTCTCCGAGACGGGACTTCATTCAGGTGGCAGTAGAGAGCCACTAAAGATTAGGGAACAAGAGAGTGGTATGCCCCAACACAGCAATGAGGAGACTAAGCCTTGCTGAATATGATTATGACAGTCCTGACTAGCCAGGCTGCACGGGGGGCCGATGGCAGTGGGTGAAGGGAGAGGACACCCGTGGCAGGCACAGCCTCCAGCCTCCACGCACTCTCAGCCCGCGTGGAGAGGCGGGCCTCCTCTGTGAAGCAGACCCAGGCAGTGCTCAGCGGGCAGTGCAGGAGTAGAAATGGGAGGCAAACTGGGAGTGGAGGGAATGGCATCTCCAGTCCCAGCGCCACGGTCAGGAGTGGTCGGCCCCTGGGCATCCTCTGGGATCTGTCACCAGCCCCACCTTCTCTGGCCTGGCTGGCCCTGCAGTAGGGCCCAGTGGACAGCAGAGAAGTCTAGTGAGCAAGGCATCCTGGGGAAACTGAGGCTGGACTCCTGCAGCCCACCCATGGGAGTGAGCCGTGTCTGACAGCAGCAGGACCCTGCACTCCTTGGCACTCCGCCCGCCTCCGTGTGAAATGCAGAGAAGGAACTGTGGGCCCCTTTTCTCTACCAGGAATGACAGCTGGCATTTACTTGCCATTACCATATGCCAGACACTGAGCAGCCGGTTTCATCCTCATGGCCTGTGTAATGAGGTGGGTACCGTTATCCAACTCCTCCCTCTCCTCCCTGTTGAGAGAGGCCCAGAGAAGTTCCATTTCTCGTCTAAGGTCACACAGGACAATCTATTAAGTGGCACACTGACTAACATGACACAATACTGCCCCTACAGGCAGAGGCGGGCTAGAGCAGAGCATCCTGCTGGCTTTGAAAAGCGTTCCCAGCCCAGCGCCATCAGCCATTACAGATATTAGTGTCCACCAAAGTATGGGGGCGGGGGGCGGGGGGCGGGGGTGGGAGGCCAAGTAAAACAGAACTCGGCCTGGCTATTCCTCTTCACCCAGGCCTGGCCCCCTGGGCTGGGCTGAGTCAGGCCAGGCGAAGCCACTCGCCCTGAGAGGTCCTCCATCCGGACCAGTGGAGCAGGGCTCCCCAGGCCCGAGGTGAGTGCCACCTGTGCCGGCTGTGGCGCTGCGTGGTTCGGATCCTGACTCAGCCCCTCATGTCCTGTGTGATCTGGACTTCCCGCCCTCTGGGCCCCTGCTGCCTCCTCTGAGAGGGTGTAAGTGGGCCGGCTGACCACGGAGGCCCTTCCTTCCAGCCGGCCCCGGCGGGATGCACAATCAGCTCATTCTTTAGTGAATGCACTGGGGGGCCAGCGAGCGCATATGAAGACATTTAGAAGCGGCTGCTCTTGGGAAACCCCAGATGGAATTTGGCGTGGAATCCAGGGGGACCGCTGCTGACTGCGTGACGCCTCTGGGTCTCCGTGCTTGTGCGTGCTTGGTCACCTGTGCATGATGCCCTCCTGATGACAGATGACAGAAGACACTGGCCTTGTCCAGGACCCTCCATCCTCTAGAACAGCCCCCTCTCTGCTCAGTCTAGCGGGGTCCATGGTGCTCCCACCCCCTTCTGACCTTACCCACCAACAATCCTAGAGCCCCGGGGCCATGATGAATGCTGATAACAGGCCCTGGTGTTCTTGGCCCGGGCTGGGACCACCCACCTCCAGACTCCTTGTCTTGTTCCCATCTGCAGGAAGGAACAGTTTGGTGTCATAGAAGGAACTTGGGGCCCAGATTGGGTCTTGAGAGCCCTTCAGACTCTGCCTGGTGAGTCAAGTGCTAGGGACCTCACTTCTCCATTGGAAGACGTGGGGTGCGGGCGGAGTTTGTTCCTATGACATTGTAGGGATGTGGATAGCATTGCCAGGTTTTATTTTGTTTTGTTTTTCTTTTTAGAGCCAGGGTGGTGCTCTGTCACCCAGGCTGGAGTGTAGTGGTGTGATCTCAGCTCACTGCAACTTTGAACTACGAGGCTCAAGTGATCCTCCCACCTCAACCTCCAGAGTAACTGGACTGCAGGTACATGTCACCACACCCGGCTTAATTGCTTTTCTTTTGTTTACAGAGACGGGGTCTCCCTATGTGGCCCAGGCTTGTCTCAAACTCCTGGGCTCAAGTGATCCTTCTACCTCAGCCTCTCGAAGTGCTGGGGTTATAGGCATGAGCCACTCTGCCTGGCCTGGTTGCCAGTTTTAACAAAGAAAAATACAGAACATCTAGTTAAATGTGAATTTCAGAGAAAACAGTAAATTTTACCATAAGTATACCTCAAATATTGCACGGGGTCAGGTGTGGTGGCTCAAGCCTGTAATCCCAACACTTTGGGAGGCCGAGGCGGGCATATCACTTGAGGCCAGGAGTTGGAGACCAGCCGGGCCAAGGTGAAATCCCATCTTTTCTAAAAATACAAAAAAATTAGCCAGGTGTGGTGGCACACGCCTGTAATCCCAGCTACTCAGGAGGCTGAGGCATGAGAACTGCTTGAGCCTGGGAGGTGGAGGGTGCAGTGAGATCGCGCCACTGCACTCCAGCCTCGGTTCTCAAAAAAAACGATATATATTGCACGGGACATCATTATGCTAAAAGAAAATGATTCCTGTTGATCTGAAGTTTGGATTTACTTAGGCCTTCTGTCTTTTCCCTGGCCACCCTATATCTGGCTCAGGTGGATGCCAGAACCCCGGAGAGCAGCCACACCAGCCTCCTCCCCTCCTCCTGCTCCTCTTCAGGGCACTGGTGCCTGCCCAGTTCCCTCACTCCCACCCCTGCTGGCCCCCCACATCTGCCCTGAGAGTTCCCCACGCCCTTCTCAGCACCCTCATTTGGATACCCCCAGGGTATCCTCCTCTTGTAAGCTCAGCCATTTTCCCATTTCCCTCTCCCATAAGGGCCACAGCTCTGCAGGGCTCCGGGCCTGGGCAGGATAGCAGGGAGTGTGGGGTAGAGACCCCAGGGCCTTGCCGGTGGTGCCGTGGGGACAAGAAGACCCCCAGAAGCTCACCTGGCAACGACTCAAGAAGCGGAGGCTCCAGGACTCTCAGGACTAGGTCCCCCTGCCAAGGTCCACCTGCAGGGGAGGAGGGGGAGGGCGGCCCCTTTCCTTCTCCAAGCTCACAATCACTTCAAACACAGAGGGGCCGGACCCCGGTTCCCGAGACTGGAAGATTATCTTCTTAAGGGCCATCAAGGGCTAGGAGATCATGGGAAACAGGGACAGGGAAAGGGGGAGAGAGCAGGAAACGGCGTAAGAAACAGCCCGAGAGACCGAGGGTGCGGGACCAAACCACGGACAAGGGAGAAGGGACCGGAGAAACCGAGAAAAACCGACGCCTCCGCCGAGGCGGACAGAGGTGAACAGAGACGAGAAGCAGACGGGAGAACAGAGGGAGAGGCAGGGAACGCGAGAGAAACGGGGTGCAGACAGATGGGGAGAAACCGGGACAGAAAAACAGGCTGGGAGGAACGAGGAGAGACACGGAGGGGTTAAATAGAAGGCAGAGAGCGTGACTGGGAGAGAGGAGGGAGAAGGGTGAGAGGCTGAGCAAGGGGAGATTTCTCAGGGGTCGGGACAGATTGGCGACACAGGAGGGGGCGCCCAAGGACCAGACGCGGAGCCTCTCAGGGTTCCCCCTTCGCCGGAACAGGGAACAGAGCCCCAAGCGCCATCGCCCACTCGCCCCCTTCCCGGGGTCCTGGCTGCACCCCTCCTGCACCGCCCTGGCCCAGCGCCCCCCGCCCACCAGCTCCGGCCACGCCCCTCCCGGCTCCCGGGCACCCGCGCTGGGCGACGCTGCCATCTGCCGGCCGCTCCCGGAAGCACCGCGCCTGCAGTGCAGAGGCGCGGAGGCGGCGGCCGCGGGGGGCTCGGAATCCGGCCGCTCCGCACTGGGGTGGCCTCCGCACTGGGGTGGCCTCCGCTAGGTCTTTCCAGGAATGCGGATGGGCCTCCGCACCCCGGCCAGCCTGGCTGAGGACCAGCCCCAGCTGCGGACCCCGGGGCGAGTCTAAACCCCGGGGCCTTGATTTCCTGTTTTATCAAAGGGAGGAAATACACCGACACCTCCCCTTAGGATTTCAAGAGTGGAGGGCACGCGAGGGTACCCAAGCTGTGCTCCTGGTCTTTATTCCTCGACCGGAAATCTCAGGTCACTCTGAAATCAGCCAGGCTGCCCCCTCTCTCCCTTTCTGGCCAAAACCCAACGGGGTGATATCCCCCTACCATAACGCCGCAAAGTCTATCCTAGAACGTTCGCCTTCCGCCTCCCTCCACCTCTGCCCCCATGTGACTTCTCACCAGACCCAGAAGTCCAGATGAGAAGGAACTTCCTTGTCCGTCCCCCCACCTCTGCCAGGCCCTGTATCCCTCCCCGGAGTCTGGGACACTTAGGAGTGGAGGAGTTGCGGTTAGGAAGGCCCAGCTCAGCAGTGTTGAGTTGACCCCACCTCTTGTTAAATTTAGGTTATTTTATTTATTTATTTAGAGATGAAGTCTCTCTAACGCCCAGGCTGGAGGGTATTGGCACAACCTCGGCTCACTGCAACCTCCTGGGTTCAAGTGATTCTCCTGTCTCAGGCTCCGGAGTAGCTGGGATGACAGACGCCCGCCACCACGCCCGGCTAATTTTTGTATTTTTAGTGGAGACGGGGTTTCACCATGTAGGCCAGGCTGGTCTCGAACTCCTAATTTCAAGTGATCCGCCCTCCTCCGCCTGCCAAAGTGGTGGGATTACAGTCGTGAGTCACCGCGCCCGGGACTTCTTTTTTAAAAAATCTGTTAATCTTTTCCGCGTCCCAATTCCCAAAACCCAGCCGAGACCTCCGCGCCTCGCTTCCTCCTCCCAGGCCCTCCCTGCCCGGTGTCCGCCCCTCCCGGTGCAGCTCCGCCCCCATCCCGAGGCGGGGCCCCGAAGGTGGAGGGAAGTGGGAGAGGTCGCAGCCCCACCTCCTCTACAGGAAAGCTCAGTGGCCCCCATGCCAGGATGTCCCAAGCTTGGGTCCCCGGCCTCGCGCCCACCTTGCTGCTCAGCTTGCTGGCTGGCCCCCAAAAGGTGAGACTTGGGAGGTAAGGTTGTTGAACTTTCCGGTCAGGAGCCTGCTTTGGGAGCCTGGTCGCTACCTTCCCCTTGTCAGGATTTCCTCCTGACCACACGAAATTAGCAACTTCCTTTCTCTTTGCTGTGGAGGTGGAGGCGGGGGCAGCGGAGGAGGCCCTGGGAGAGCCTGGGTTCTCCCACCTCTGAGGGGGGTCCTGTGGTGGGAATTGGCCGCCGCCTACCACCTGTCTGACACCTAGCACCTCACTGTGGATAGGGACTTTGGACTCCGTATTAGTCTCAGCTCATGCTTCCAGCTCCTTCCGCCCTTGAGGTCTGGACACCTGCGCCAGCACAGAGCCCCAGCTCTCTTCCTCCAGTCCTGGGTGACCCTGGGGATGTCCCCACCCTCTTTGGGGCTGTTTCTCTACTTGTTCCCTAGGGGAGAGGAGGCTCCGTCATCCCCTTCTAGGAGTGAGTAACCCCAGTCTGTGGTGGGATTTGACCTGGCTGCCTGACCAAGGCTGGGGTGACCTCTGAAATCTGTGGTTTGGCGAGGGAGGTGTAGGGTTTGAGCGCCTCTTCGGTCCTTCTGTTCCTCCCAGGTAAACGCTACAGGTGATGGCGGAAGGCAATCCAGTCCTGGTATGGGTGATTGTCCTAGGAACAGAGATGGGTCTAGAAAATGCGTTTGTGACTTATTTCCATTTAAGAAGCAGACGGAAGTCAGGACCTGCTCCCAGAACAGCCTAGATAGCTGAGCTTTCAGAGTGGCTCTGCCAAAGCCCTTCCGTGGACCCCAGTTGGTGAGCACCGTGCTCCTTCTGAATCACCGGGTGGTCAGTGTGTGTCCATGCTGGGCTGGGCACCCTCCGCTTTACCCCTCCTACCCACCCCCGGGGCGAGGTGCTGTTAATGCCCTCAATTCTGGAGTTAAGTAAGCTGAGAATTACTCACTCCTAGCCAAGACCACCCTGCTGCTCCATAAAACTCAGCCTCTGAACCACCCCAGACAAGACTACCCCATGGTTAAAATGTGAGGAGGCAGTCTGGGAGAAGAGCTCCTCCCCCTCCCAAACCGGACCTTGAGACTAATTTACTAAACTTGTTACTTATCCATCACTTCTTAGTTGGGGTCCGAGAGGGATGGGGGACAGAGTGAGGTCTGAGGGGGAAGGGGTGCTGCTGAGTGCCTGGATCGACCCCCTTGATTTGTCTCCAAGTTCTCTCTCTCTCTCTCTCTCTCTCTCTCTCTTTCTCTCTCTCTCTCTATATATATATATGTGTGTATATATATATACATATATATGTATATTATATATGTGTGCATGTGTATATATATACATATATACATGTATATAATTTAAATATATTTAAATTGTATATGTGTGTGTATATATGGAGAGATTTAAATTATATACTTATGTGTATGTATATATATATACACGTGTGTATGTGTATAGACATATATATATATATATATATATAGTTTAAAGAATAGAGATGGAGCCTCACTATATTGGCCAGGTTGGTCTTAAACTCTAGCCTCAAGCAATCTGCCCACCTCAGCTTCCCATCATGCTTAGGATTACAGGCATGAACCAGTGAGCCCAGAGCCTGTCTCCAATTCTGTAGTCATTCTTATGTGCTGTGTGATTTGGATTCACAGACTCACCCTCTCCGGGCCCACCTGCAGGGGTTCATTCCTGTTCCTGTCCCCACAAAGGTACAAAGCCTATGAGAAGATACTCAGCCTGTAACTGAACATGGAAAAGGGGAATCACCCCAACTATTATTGGCTATCACTGGTATTCTTATCTTTACTGTTGTGACTTGCAATTGAAATGTTATTCCCAGCACTTTGGGAGGCCAAGGCAGGCAGATCGTGAGGTGAGGAGATCGAGACCATCCTGGCCAACACAGTGAAATCCCTCCAGTGCTGGGTGACCCTGGGGTTGTCCCTACCCTCTTTGGGGCTGTTTCTCTGCTTGTTCCCTAGGGGAGAGGAGGCTCCCTCATCATCTTCTAGGAGTGAGTAATCGCAGCCTGGGACTACATGGTGGCATGCACCTGTAGTCCCAGCTACTCAGAAGGCTGAAGCAGGAGAATCGCTTGAACCCGGGAAACGGAGGTTGCAGTGAGCCGAGATCGCACCACTGCCCTCCAGCCTGGGAGACAGAGAGAGACTCCGTCTCAAAACAAAAACAAAAACAACAAAACAACAAGCAAAGGATAAAGATAACAGTGGTTCTGCCAAAGCGGGCTTCCTGTTTTTTAGCCTTGGTTGTTTGTCCCAGGAGGCTAGGGTGAGGTGACAGATACCTTCCCCCACCACCCATTTCCTATGTTCCAGCACCTACATCCCTTCCCTACAGTCTGGGAGCAGGCCAAGATGAAATGAAGCCAGGTAATTGATGAATGCTTGTTCATTCATACTGGACTATTGGGTTTTCAACAGTGATGCAACAAAAATCCCTGCCCTCGTGGAGTTTGCCTTTTACGCAACTGATAGACAATTAAGATAAAGTATGTTAGTTGTTCATAAGAGATGTGGAAAAAAATTAAGCACACTGAAGGGAAGGAGAGTGGTTATCATTTTAAATAATGCAGTCAGAGTGGGAGGGGGCGGAGCCAGCCCTGCAGCCATCTAGAAGAGTGTTCCAAGTCAGTGTAGCCTTGACATATAATTGTTATCAATGGAGTGAAATTCTGTAAGATGCCCTGGATGCCCAGCAGACCTAGTACAGAAGAGGGAGGTTTGGGAGGCGGGGTCCTGGCAGCTTTGCAGAGCATGGAATCCCCTAGGCAGGGATCTGAAGGATGAATAGAGGCTCAAACAGGTGTAAAACACCCAGGTATGTTCAGGAAACTTTCAGCGGGTGTGTGTGAGAGGAAGAGAAAGGGGAGGGAGTGGCAGCTGCTCGCTGTACCCCAGGGAGCCACCGAAGTGGGCTTCCAGCAAGGTTCTTTGGTGATGAGATTTACATTATAGGAAGAGTCCTTCTGCCCACAGTGTCTTCAGTGACTGAGGGTGGCATAAGAAAAGTCGCCAGTGCCCTGGGCCATGGATGTCTCGGCAGAAGGCAGGTTGGAAGGGTGGTCAGAAAGGATGGGCTTATAAATGTGTGGTGAGGGAGTGGTTGGGAGGGGAGAATGATCAGATGTGGTGAGAGAGGAAGGGGAGCTGGGGCCAGCCAGGGGTCAGCTGGGCTCCAAGCACTGACCTGGGAACATGGTGGTGAGGTGAGGAGTGGCTTACAGGAAGAGGCTGAGTCTTCTGGGGACCTGCTGGCTGTGAGGTACCTGGGCAGCACCTGAGCAGAGACCCCACCCCAGCTTCCCCAGTTTATGACCCCTGACGTCTCTCTTCTTCCACAGGTTGTAGCCAGATGTGGTCTCTTCCTGTAAGTCTGGAACTTTGGCCGTAACTGCCAATCTGGGGATGGGGGAGGAGCAACCCAAATCACACCCTGCATGTCTTGGGGGTCTGGGGGGCCAGAAACCCCATCCATCCTCACCTACTCCCAATCCAGCGAGAAACAGTCCCCCCACTTTCCCAGCCAAAGAGGGAGACCCCACCCTCTCCCTGCACCAACGAACTCAGGACTTCCACACTTGGGGGCAGGTCTGAAGCCTGACCCGTCCTTCCTACTGCAGGGCCACATCGTCTCCCCTCTGAGGGTCCCCTGGGTTGGAGGCAGGGGGCTAACCCTAATATAGATATCCCAGAAGCCTGAGCACAAGGGGTGGGGCTGGGGTAAGGGTCACTGGGCAGAAAAGCGTTTCCATTAGGTCGGCACCGGGTGTTCTGAAAGCACCTGTTCCCTGATCCCTCATGCTCCACGGGTGCCAGCGATGCCTCAAGGCCTGCCTCCCCGCACCTCCTTAGAGTGGCCACTGCAATGCCCCATCCCCACACCTGCTTGCTGAGGTCAAAGGATACTCCCTCCACCCGTGTTACAGAGGAGGGACGTGGGGCCCAGTAGGGAGCTGTACTGGGCACGAACGCGCAGGCCTTTCCCCAGAGTCCTGCTGAGCTCAGAGGGGCCCGGACGCCCTACCCCACTAAGGGGCAGCTTATGCCATGAGCATATGGTGTATTTTGGGGAGGCTAGGATCCTTCTGCCTTTCCACTCTGGTGCCAACAGCTTCTCCTTCCCCTTTCTGTGCCCTCCAACCAGCACCTGCCCCAAAGGATTCAAATGCTGTGGCGACAGCTGCTGCCAGGAGAATGACATCTTCACTGGCCCTGTGAGGTGAGCCCAGGGCTGGCTCCTCTGGACGTAGTCCTTGGAGGGGCCTGGTCCACACAGGGCCAGGCTGGGCACCTGCTGAGGGAGCGGTGTGGGTGGTAGGAGCAGGGAGGTGTGGCAGGTGGCCTGGGGACTCAGGGTGTTCTTGGTGGTCCTCACCCCAGGATCTTCATCATCACCTTCCTGGTCGTCGTGTCCCTCTTTTGCATCTGTGGCCTGGCTAAGTGTTTCTGTCGCAACTGCAAAGAGCTGGAGCCAGACACCCCAGTGGATTGCCGGGGGCCCCTGGAACTGCCTTCCATCATCCCCCCAGAGAGGGTCAGAGCACCCCTCTCTGCATCCCCACCCCCCTACAGTGAGGTGGGTGTCTCATCCCCATCCCTACCTTGCTTCTGGCTGGCTGTGCAGCAGGACAGTGGAGGGCCCTACGACCCTGGGGGACACTCTGCACCCAGCATTGGGCCACCTCTTTCCCTGGTAACCATGCCTCAGCTGGCAAGGAGGAGTAGTGGCCAGGGCCAGGGCCCAGGAGACTGAACTCCCTCTTTTCCCTGCAGGTGATTCTGAAGCCCACCTTGGGCCCAACTCCCACAGAGCCACCCCCTCCCTACAGCCCCTACAGCTTTAGGCCTGAAGAATATACCAGGGACCAGAGGGGCATTGACAACCCAGCCTTCTGAGTCATCTCCTGCCTGGAATCCTGCCATCAGCAGCCTTCTCCCCAGTGGACCCTGGATCAAGCCAGAGACTGCTGGCACCCCAGGAGTGCCCCTGCCCGACCTGCCACGTCTCCGTTCATTCTCGGATTTAACTTACTGCTTTTTCTGCTTCTGTTTCCACCCCAGCTGCCTCTCTTGTCCTAAGGGTTAGGCTGGAGTGACAGTATCGGCCCACCCCCCAACCCAAGAAAGAGGCTGCCAGGAGGAGAATGCCAGCCATTGGAGGTGCCCAACAGGAGAATGGGCTACTCTGAGGGGTAGTAAGAGCCCCATTTCTGGAGGCATGCAAATCTTGACTGGACAGCCAGCTCTGAGATTTTATCAGGGCACTTCTCTACCTGTGGGAGATTGAACTGGATGAGCTCTGAACCAGCTTCCAGGACTACCTGAATAGAGAACTCATTGTACCCACCCCAACACATGATAAACACATGTCCTCACTGAACGTCATTGATCTCGGCTGAGAGCCTGCCTCTGGTTGTGTGGGGAGGTGCATGGAGAGGTGAGCCCAGGCACTGCTGGAGGGTGTGGCAATGGGGTTGCTGTGCCGAAATCCTACCACTGATGAGTCCTCCAGGTCTGGAAGGACAGCCCATCCATGGGCCGCCCCTGGGGAAAGGCTCTTTCTAGATGCCTTAGCTGTCCGTTTTTTGATGTCTCTGTGTGCCAAAGAGCCTGGAAGTGAGGTAGGCATGTCCCTTGTGTGGGTTTCCCAATCCCTTCTGCCCAAGGCTTTCCTGGGAGACATGGAGCCCAGCTCTCTGGCTGTCTTCCATGACTTGGTGAGAAGTTGACTGCGAGGGGTTAGATCCAGGAAGCAACCCTGGAAACCACCTGCTGGGAGAAGGTGGGGGTAGGGAGGAACTCAGGAGAGAGCAGTGGGTGGGGCTGGGCATCTGTGGAGTGGGGCTTTAGGAGACCTTGAACGGCCCCACCCTGGAATCTATAGGGAGGGGAGGAGATGGCAGATTCCACCCTTCTGTACCAGCCCTGCCTGTGGGAGTTAACCTCCAGGGGAAAGAATGTTCGCCCCAGCACCATGGGAGAGTCTTCACTGGGGTTCAACCCATGGGGGCCTGATGTGGTCATGCAGAGTGGGGCGAGACAGTGCTGGTGCCTTGGGACTCAGACGGGGCTGGGCGCCTCCACCCTTATTTTTGCCTTTGCACTGTGCCCCCACAGCCCACTCAATGCTAGTCTTCTTCTCCAGGCAGAGGATTCCGAGTCAATGCTGACCAAATCTCCCAGAACGATTGAACTGGCCCTGGTGTGCCAACAGGGGTGCCTCATTCAGTGCTCTCCCGATAATGCCCATCGTCGGGGCATCAGGATGCAGGCAGGTGGCAGAGCTAGGGATAGCATGATGGCACAGGTAGCCCCAGATGCCGGGAAAAGGGACCGTCTGTCCAGGTGTGGGTTCTCTGGAGATACGGCGCCAGAAGGAGTGCAGCATTTGCTGACAAGATAGTGCCCGGGTTAGTGACAAGATAGTGGCCATAAGAGAATGAGCCCAGGTGTAAGTGAAAGTTTCCCTTCAGTTTCAGGGCTTGGTCAGGGGTGGCAGAAAACATGGGTTTTTGCGTAGATGTGTCTGGTTCCAATTAGAGAAGTCCCAGAGCTGATACTGCCCTCACCATGATAGCGGGAGGATGTTGAGCAATGGGCTTGGGAGACCTGGGGGGGAAGTTACCCTCGGCCTGGACGTTGCCTTCCTTTCATCACAGGGCCTGTAACTCCTCCTGTGGAGTAGCAGAGTAGCCCAAGGGAAAGTGGCAGTCCTGAAACCTAGTTTTGCTGTGACCTGGTAACAGAAATGGAGACTTCTGTGGCTTTTCTGGTCATCCTTGCTGGGAGTGGAAATGCTATCAGCTTTCAGAGGGCCATCTGGCACCATGCAGTCATGCCACAGATCTTTACAAAGCTCCTGCTATGTGGGAAGCACTATGTCTGGCACTGGGTATCCATTAAATGTAAAATGCATGTGGCCTGGCAATTTCACTTCTAGAAATGAGCCTTCACAAGTGCTCATGCAGAAGAGCTCAATATAAATACCATGCACTAACCCATTGTGCCACCAGTGCGGAGCTCTCGATGCAGCCTTTTAAACTAATCAAGAGCCAGCCTGACCAACCTGGCAAAACCCGGTCTCTACTAAAAATACAAAAAAATTAGCCAGGCATGGGGCGTGCACCTGTAATCCCAGCTACCCTGGAGGCTAAGGCAGGAGAATTGCTGGAACCCTGGAGGCAGAGGCCAAGGATCTCACCACTGCACTCCAGCTGCCTGGGTGACAGAGCAAGACTCCATCTCAGAAGAAAAAATAAAAATAAAAAGGATTTGTAGCACCAACCCTGCAAAGCGTCCATTACGTTAGAGAAAAGGCAAGTTGCGGAATAAAAGCCTATGATCTCAGTTTGTAAGGATATCACCCATACATATTTTATTTTATATATATATATATTGCAAAATACAGATAAGATCTAAAAGGATGTGAACCAGTCACTCCCCACACTTCACTTCCAACAGTTGTTGGCACCAGGAGTGGGATGTCAGTGGCGGATTGCAAGCGGAGATTCTTACTTTGTATGCCTTGGCATTGTGTGTTTTTACAATCAGCAAGCATTGCTTTTGCAAATTTAAAGAGATTTGTTTCCTGGAAACTGTAGGCAACTTTAGAAGTTTATGAAGATTCGCTTTGTGAACTTTGATCAATGGCAACTGATAAATTAATCAGGCCTGGTATGCGGAAGAAGGATATGAGAACTTTAGACTTGTGGTACCCACCTGACATGGATGTGACCCAGGGGATACACACATGATGGACATGGGAAAGCCTGGACACCTGCCAGACATATGAGGAGCAGGGGAAGCTCACACGTCAGACCTCTGCAGGACTTATGAGGTGTATAATGAATGAGAGAAACAGTGAGCTGGTTGGTTGGGTGAATAAGCAGTTTCACAGTGACTTGAGAATTCATCCCTCGGCTGGTTTAGTAGCTCAAACCCAATGAGTGAATAATGAAAGATGGAACGAATGAATGAAGATTACATGAGTGGCCAGATACAGTGGCTCACACCTGTAATCCTAGCACTTTGAGAGTCCGAGGCGGGCAGATCATGAGGTCAGGAGTTCGAGATCATCCTGGCCAACATGGTGAAACCTTAGCTGGGCATGGTGGCGGGCACCTGTAGTCCCAGCTACTCAGGAGGCTGAGGCAGGACAATCCCTTGAACCCGGGAGACGGAGGTTGTAGTGAGCCTAGACCATGCCACTACACTCCAGCCTGGTGACAGAGCAAGACTCCCTCTCGAAAAACAAAAAAAACCCCAACCCCGCAAGTCCCACTCGGGCCCTCGGCTCCTCCTCCTCCTTCACAGCCTCACTTCCTCGCTCTTAAAATGACTAATTTCATATCTTCTACTGCAAATCTCCGCACCCCCAGCCTCAATTTCAGCGGGCAATGCCACCACAGGCTTCAGAGAACACGGATGCAACCACACAAGCACACCAGATTGCCGCCCCCTGCTGCCCCCTACACTTGCCGCCCTGTATCCACACATGCCTCCTTCCCCCACAGAGCACAGTGGAAGCCCCGTCACTCTCCTCCAGACTGCACTGGGCCCCAGCCCTACCCTTCCTTAGGGCCCAGCCCGGTTCCTCCCACCCCCGCACCCCCCGACCCCAGCACCCTCCTACCTCCGCCCCGCCTCTGCAGAGCCTTTCTCCCCGTCCTGGATCATTATCATCGCTTATAACATGCCCCGCCCTCCATCTGTTCGAAACTCTCCTGAAGGCCCCCAGCACCTCTGACCTCTGCTGTTCCACCGCCCTCCTCCCCACTCATCCTGTGCAGCTCCAATCAGCCCTTTGTCCCCACCATGACAGGCGATGACTCTCGTCCAGATCGCCAGGGACCTTCATGCGGAATCAAAGGTCCCTTCCTTCCCCGGCTGTGTCTCAGTGGCATTTGACACACTTGGCCACAGCCTCCTTGTGAGTTTCTCCAGCGTCTCTGACTCCACCTTCCCCTATTTTCCCTCTTCCACGCGGCCTTCTCCTTCCCCGGAGCCTTCACTTCCCGCTCTTCCTCCGCCCTCTCTGGGGGATGGCTGCCTTGGAGGATCTGTCTCTGGGTCTCTGGTGGTCATCTTTGTCCATTCCCATAGTGGCTGTCATCCCGATCTGCGGCTTCTCGAGGCTTTCTCTCCTGCCAGACTTCTTCCTGCAACGCCAAATCCACGTATGTAACCACCTCACGCCTCCTCTCGGATGCCTGATGCGCATCTCCCAGCCAAAAGCAGGCTCTAATTTCCCTCGGTGGCCCCTCAAATCCAGTCCTTCCCAAAGTGTCCCATTATAAAGAGATGGCGCTCTGCATTCACTCAGCTGTGCAGGCTAAAAAACTAAGCGACTGTGATTCCTCTTTCCCTCACCACCTCATCCTGACACAGACCCAGGCCCACTTATTACCGTTTCAGGACTATGGCCCTCGACCAAGCCACCCTCATCCCAGGCCCAGCCTATCCTAACCACCCTCTACTGGATTTCTGCCTCCAGGCTTGTCTCCATCTCGCCCCCTGCAGTTCATCCTACACACTGCACTTAGGGAGATCTCCCTAATGCACTGACATGTTATTCCCATGCTTAAAATCCTCCAATGGCCGGGCGCCTTGGCTCACTCCTGTAATCCCAGCAGTTCGGGAGGCCAGGGTGGGAGGATCGCTTGAGCCCAGGAGTTCGACACCAGCCTGGGCAACATAGAGAGACCCCGTCTCTACAAAAAAAAAAAAAAAAAAAAAAATCACTGGGTGTGGTGGTGCGAATCTGTGGTTCCAGCGATTCAATGGCGGCAGGAGGTGGGGTGGGGGTGGGGGTAGGTGGGCCAGGAGGAGACTGAGGTGGGAGGAATGCTTAAGAGATCAAGACATTAAGGCTGCCGTGAGTGTGATCACACCACTGCACTCCAGCCTGGGTGACAGAGTGAGACCCTATCTCAAAAAAAAAAAAAAAAAAAAAGTTGCTCCTTGCACCTGGAATAAACCTCAAACCCGACTGTAGCTGGCAGGACTTGGGCAGCGTGGCCCCTCCCTTTCCCTCCAGCATCTCCTACTTCTCCCTCCCTTCCCACTGCCTGGCAGCCACAGTTGCCTTCTCTCTGGGACTTGCCTATCCCAAATCCTGGCCTGGCCCAGGGCCTTTGATGGCTTCTCTGCTTGGAACTGCCCTCCCTCCCAACCGCTTCCTACCAGTCTTCATAGAGGTGCTATATTTTCACCATTCTGGTTCCCAGAGGGGCCAGCATGTGCAAAGGCCTGAGGAGAGAAGGAGCTTGAGGGCCAGAGAAGCTTAAAAGAGACCCCTCCTTCCTTCAAAATCCCCTCAGATTCTGCCAGCCGAGGTGGCACTGTACCTGTAGTCCTGAAGCAGGAAAAGGCCAGGAAACT